TTTTGTTTTAAAGAATTCAGTTCTGGATCCGTATCCGAGACATGTCTGGATTGATCAAGTTCAAACTTCACACACACAAGGTACATCATGTCACAAATATGTATGTGCATTTGTTTCATGATCTCATTAACGATAGCCAAATGGGGGCCGCTTTAAGGCCGAAAATGCATTGAAATCGCACATTTTCACCATTCCGGACCCGTATCTCAGTTATGCATGGATGGATTTTGTTCAAATTTGGTACATACATTAAACATAATAGGACCTTGATGCACGTCTTTTTTTTTTCCGGATCAAGTTCGAAATGGCCGACTGGCGGCCATTTTGTTAAAGAATTCAGTTCTGGATCCGTATCCAAGACATGTCTGGATTGATCAAGTTCAAACTTCACACACACATGGTACATCATGTCACAAATAGATATGTGCATTTGTTTCATGATCTGCTTAACAATAGCGGAATGATGGCCATTTTAAGGCCGAAAATGCATCAAAATCACGTATTTTCACAATTCCAGAACCGGATCTCAGTCATGCATGGATGGATTTTGTTCAGATTTAGCACAATGTGTTGTAAATATGCAGGTGCATTTCGGTCATGATCTGCTTTGAATGTATATGTCACTCAAATATGAACGGAACGGGGACGTGTCATTGACAATGACTTGTTAACTATAATTCATTGTTATTATATAAAATATATATTGTGTGCTATATTAGCTCTATTAGTAACGCATACACTCAGGTAAATTACAGAAGTGTTTCTATGGTCAAAATAAGCTTTATTTCAATGATTCAGTATACAACAAATGTGATATTTGGTTTTGCAAATGCACTACTAATAAAGCAAATATGGTATTTACAGTTGATTTATTGTCAATGTTGTTATTGTCTTCCCTCACTACCATATCATCTGTTGTTACACAGGTATGGTGACGCAATCCATGTTTTTTTTGTTACAGTAAAAATAGCAAACTTCAAAAACGTGGTAAGATTAATCTGATTGGTCGGCTGCAGTTGTCAACCGAAAGGAGTTCCGATGAAGACAAAGAAGGCATAGTACAGCTGAGAATTCTCAGAACTCAGGTAATAATATATTTACATAATTTTAAAAAGTGACAGCATCTGCTGAATTTACTCTAAATAATAACTATAAAATATAATCCTTGGTATATAACACATTATTGACATGGACCCCAGAAGGGAAAATGAAACAGGGTAGACCAAAAACAACTTGGCAATCCATTATAGTGAAAGGAAAGAAACAAGGTTTCTTGGAAGTCATGGACGGCAACCAGAGTTGCAGCAGTTGATAGGACAGAATAGAGACATTCGGTGAAGAATGTGCTACTAGGTATCTGGAGGATAGATAGATAGAATATACCCCTATAGGAATATCTAACCAGTCTTGTATATTTGGTTAACATGCCATGCATATTGATATGACAAGACCAGGATCTAACAGTATCATATGGGTTACTGGGAAAGTATTTTGATTTATCTGTGCCTTGTGCGTTTCTCTCCATCTTGACTGATAACAAGATTCACACACACATGAAATTAACCGTTCCACCACGAGTTCCTTATTTCCCTCATCACAAATTCACAAAATAGTCCTGTTTATAGTCTGCACTTTCCTTCAGAAGAGTGGGACAAAAATAGCGCAATTTTTGGAGTAAAAACTGAAAATTGAGCCAAACTCTGTTGCTTTCAAAGTTGGATGAGAAAGTCTGGTGGTGAAAAGGTTAAAAAACCTGGAACAATTGAAATGATATGAAAATACAATTGACTTTCATCACTGCATGTGTAAAAGCAACAAAAACTATTATTATCAGTAAGTTGATCACTATCTGTACATATATCATTATTATATTAATTAGTATATTTACAGGTTTACTATTATAAAACTCAGAAAACACTGGAACTGTTGTCTGTCTCAAAAAACAAATAAATGACTTTTCATTGCAGTGGTTTATTACAATGTTCATTGCTAGATGTATATGATAAGGAATTGTTAGCAGTTCTTCAACAAACACTAAATTTGTTCTTATTTTTGTTTCTTGAATACAGGAGGCAATCGTGAAGATCATGAAAATGAGGAAGAAGATCACGAATGCTCAGCTCCAAACAGAACTGGTGGAAATTCTCAAAAACATGTTTCTGCCATCAAAAAAAATGATCAAAGAACAAATCGAGTGGTTGATAGAACACAAGTACATGAAACGGGATGAGGACAACATTAACATGTTCATTTACATAGCATAAATTTACTTGACACCCATCATTTGGTACCTTGACACCCCACACACAAAAATGGTCCAACCCATTTCAAATAATTTACTGTATATATTGGAGTGCTGAGGACATTTTATTTTATGTGTAAGGGGGTAAGGTGACATTTAAAATACCCTAAAGTTTGGGGGGGGGGTTATTAACAAGAATTAATCATCTAATCAACAATTTTAGATGTCTGTCCTGGGTAATTTTTTTGACAATGTTTATTGGATCATGACCCGAGTTACGTCTGTCAGCATGCAGCTAAACATCCCTGAATTTCAATGATATTTTTTTAGATTTATTCAAAATTTCATAGAAACAATGGCTAGCATTACATTCAATTTTGGTGGCTATGTTTAATAGAAAGACGGACAAAATACATTATTCAATTCAAGATGGCCGAGTAGAATACAATGTGGCACTATGTTCCTACTAAATCCATAAATCCAAGATGGCTGAGTAGAATACAATGTGGCACTATGTTCCTACTAAATCCATAAATTCAAGATGGCCGAGTAGAATACAATGTGGCACTATGTTCCTACTAAATCCATAAATCCAAGATGGCTGAGTAGAATACAATGTGGCACTATGTTCCTACTAAATCCATAAATTCAAGATGGTCGAGTAGAATACAATGTGGCACTATGTTCCTACTAAATCCATAAATCCAAGATGTCTGAGTAGAATACAATGTGGCACTATGTTCCTACTAAATCCATAAATTCAAGATGGCCGAGTAGAATACAATGTGGCACTATGTTCCTACTAAATCCATAAATCCAAGATGGCTGAGTAGAATACAATGTGGCACTATGTTCCTACTAAATCCATAAATTCAAGATGGTCGAGTAGAATACAATGTGGCACTATGTTCCTACTAAATCCATAAATCCAAGATGTCTGAGTAGAATACAATGTGGCACTATGTTCCTACTAAATCCATAAATTCAAGATGGCCGAGTAGAATACAATGTGGCACTATGTTCCTACTAAATCCATAAATCCAAGATGGCTGAGTAGAATACAATGTGGCACTATGTTCCTACTAAATCCATAAATTCAAGATGGCCGAGTAGAATACAATGTGGCACTATGTTCCTATTAAATCCATAAATCCAAGATGGCTGAGTAGAATACAGTATGGCACTATGTTCCTACTAAATCCATAAATCCAAGATGGTCGAGTAGAATACAGTGTGGCACTTAGTTTCTACTGAATCAGTAATCCAAGATGGCAGAGAAAATACATCGTCAATTTGCTGGTATTTTTTTCAAAATATTCTAATTTTGTTCAACCCTTACAGACAAAAGGGCCTTCTGTAAAAGTTGCACTGTTTTACACCCAAAATTTGGCAAAGAATTAGAAATGTTCCTTCACGTTAATTGTCATGTTTAAACTAAATATTCTAAGGTAATTTTGAGAAAACTGAAGCTTTGTCAGTTAATACAAATTTTGTCTCAAAAAAATTACCTGTATCGCAACAATTTCAGGGCTTTCATTCAATTCCAGGTCAATCCTTATTAATTCATGTTTTATAGCACTTTGTTAATAGAACATTAACTTTATTAACCATACAAGGTCTAAAATTATTCACCTTTTTTGATCACAAAGTGATGAGATGGACACTTTACACCTAATAACTAGATGTCAAAGGTCGTATTTGTACGTGTTTATGTCTGTTTTTTGATAACCGATTATTGTGAGGGAGGGTATTCGATGACAAATAACACATGCAATCTGAGTGTGTATTTTTTCTCTGACTACATTTTCCAGCTATTGTAATATGTATATGATCCATTGATATGTCTGGATATAGAATCAACCACAAACCACTTTTGTTGGTGGCAAAAGTACAGTGTCAAAAAGATTTGGGTTTATTGGGGTTAAACTGTTATTTGTAGCATTTTTTTTTCAAAGTACGCATAAGAATTATTGTTTTTGAGACATTTTGGTGCCAAAATACTTTATGAACTAACCCTCAACTTCCATTCTTGTCGCTTTCCACAAAATGAAAACCTGCATATCGGTACCCCCCAATATTTGCTAGAAAATTGGAAAGTGTGTCCACTTGGTTAAAAATAAACAAAGAAATGACAAAAAACAATCAAAATATTAAAGGGGAAAAAATTTGTTGCTATTCACACATACACCTGAAAACAATGTAAAGCATTTTAGTCACTAAAATGGACAGTATTAGCTACATTTTTTTGTTATTGACGAAATTTTTAAATTATTTTTATGATTACAAGGCATGTTAAAGGATTTATAGGATATTATGCAATTTGTGTTGGCATGGCGATGATGCAAAGTCACAAAATGATCCTCCGTTTGGTCATGTGCTTGGAACTCATGAGATTGTCATCCCATAAAACAATACATAAATAGATATCAAAGTGTTATCTCATTTTATAAATCCTTGATACAATTGCCATTTATTTTTAATTTACTTCTTTATGCAACCCAATATTTGATTTACCCATTGAAGACCAAAGTCGTTTGGTTTTATCACCATCACAAAATATACATGTAAAGTTTTTCAATAATTTTGGTTGAGACTAGTTGAAATAAACCTGTATGTCTATTTTGTCTGAAAAGAAAATGATGGGAAAATTAGGTCTCTGTAAAGTTTGCACTTGATGCTCATTATGCAGTGCATGTTTGAATTTCATGTAAACAATGAATGTATTTATACATGTGTTGTGCACGTTAGTATGAGTCGCATACCGAACAGAACAATGACCACAACCATTTAAAGGTCAGTGGTTGACTCGTAGCATGTTTGAACTTTATGTAAAGCAATCAATGTATATTACAGTTGTATGCTTTACTACTTTGACATGACATGTCAACCACATCACCCTTTAAAGCCAAGCGATTCATTTTCCAACAAATTCGTCTTTAATTTTGTCACTGCCAAAAACACCTTGAAAGGGCCACTTGGTAAAAAGATTGGTTTTCGGGTTCACTTGAGAGTTGCGATGCCATACCACAGTCACATAAATAACATCTCCATACTTTGCTATATCAAATTACTGTAAATGTATTATTTATTCACTGACTGGTTTTTAATTTCGCTATTTTCACAGATAAGTAAAATTGGCTTAATTAAATTCATGTATGTGTACATGTAAAATAACAATATAACTCATTGTTTACCTGCGAAACTTGTGAACTTAAAAGCCAGTCAATTTACTCAAAAATTGTGAATGCTAGTGAAAATAAATGTTTTTACTGTAAATGTGATTCTGCAGATACATTCTGAGTGGCACAAGTTCAGGAAGTTTCAAGCATTGAATACTAAATGTAAATTACAACTCTGTGGCTGTGTGTTAGACCAGGCTGGGGAGCAATATAACATTCACATAGTATGGATACACCGCAATATTTTAGTTTTGGGAATGCAGTTTACAAAGATGGGTTACAAGGGGTAGTATTTCACACTCTGTTTTGTACCAGGTACAAAATCCACATTTTAATTGCACTATTGCTTTTAGAAGCAAGTTGTGTAAGTTTTATGGATTCCCATTTATTTGGTTTATTTAATATTTCCTTTTCATTTTTATTGAATCCATACATTATTTACTCTGAGATGAAATTTATGCATATTAATAATATTTGTACACTACTACACTTGTAATTTTGGAATGTTTATTAATTTTTTTGAATAACTATTTTTGGCCAATTTCTTTTTTGTATTGTTATTTGTACAGCAATAAAAAAAAGCTATAATATACACATCTTTGTGGTTGTCGTTTAGTGAGGGTATTCTATCGAGAATTTGCTGCTAAAGAATGGAACACTATTAATCCTTTAGGTACCAGTTATTTTTCCTGCCCAAAATTCAGTGAAGATATTTTCACATTTTGTGAAATTGTCACTAAATATTATCATTTTATGGACAGTGTGCTGGTGCCATAAGATGATAATGGCGCTCAAAGTGAAAAATACGTATTGTGTTTTGGTGACTGTTAGCAATTAAGATCCATCAATAAAAGTACTTTCTTAACATGGATGAAGCACAGTATCAAAATACAGTTAGTGTAAGCATTGACCTTAGACCTTGTTTTCTATGGTCTATGGTGTAAGTAGGTAGTTATGTTCTACTGTTGATGCACAGTACATTTCCAGTTTTTAAAGAAGATACAATATGCACAATAAGTAAACTGAACTGTGTATAATGACATTTGAGTATGCCTGCGATGATTGATCATAAATTCTGAGAAGTGGGAATAAATATTGTTCTTAATACCTACATTTAGTTAGCACAAATAAATTCCATTCTGGGACTGATCATGTTCAAATTGCACGCATAGATCTAGTCGCACATTCACTTATTTCTTACTGGTCGCATTTCTGTCATTTTGAATTTTAAATGATTGCATTGATGCTTAGTTAACAATGCCTGCTGACACAGTTTTTGACTCCCGTGTGCGAAGCGCAAAAGGGAGTATTTGCAGCTACCCTGTCTGTATGTATGTATATATGTATGTACATGTATGTCACTTTTTTTGTTCCACCGTTATTTAAAGAACCACTAACCAAATTTTGATGAAACTTGGTAAATAGATACTCTGGGATAATGCACAGAGTTGATTAGGTTTTGGTAAAAATCCATGCATATTAATTATCTATTTTGCATAATCTTTAGCTGTTCCATGACTGTTTCACTGATATCTGAAGAACCACTTATTGGATTTTGATGAAACTTGGCACATGGATGCTCTGAACTGATGCGCAGATTTGATTAGTTTTGGGTAACACTCGTAAATATTAATTACCTAATTTGCATGATAATAACTGATTTTAAGCTGTTCCACTGATATTTGAAAAACCACTCATTGGTTTTTGATAAAACTTGGTACATGGATTTAATTAGTTTTGGGTAAAAATCTGTTTATATTAATTACCTAATTTGCGGCTTCTCCACTGATAACTCAAGTACTAATCATAACATTTCAATAAAACTTGGTACATAGATGTCATATGACACTTCACAGACCTGATAGTTTTTAGGGTAATATCACTACATATTTATTACCTAATTTGCATAATTAATTAATTAAAAGTAGTAATGATCACATTTCAATGAAACCTGGTACATAGTTACTTGAGGACTGTGCAGAGACCTAATTAGTTTTTGAGTAAATATTTGTGCATATTAATCATCTTATTAGCATAATTAGTTAATTTTCAGCTTTTCACCTGATATCTCAAGTACTAATCATCATATTTCAATGAGACTTGCGACATTAATTACCTAATTTGCATAATTAGTTAATTTTTTGCTGTTCCATGGCTGTTGCACTGATGTCTAAAAAACCACTCATTGGATTTTTAGGACACTTTTAAAGAGTACTCATCACATTTTATTGATCATCACAGACTAAAATTTGGTACATAAATGCTCTAGGACAATAGACAGCCTGATTAATTTTGGGTTAAAATTTGCTCATAATTCTCCAATTAGTATAAAAATTTATAATTTTTTGGTTCTGATCACATTTCAATGAAACTTGGTACATATATATATTACATTACGCAGATCCTATTACTTTTACATTGTGCAGACCTTATTAGTTTTACACTTAAATCTGTTCATATTAGTTACCTTATTTCCATCAATATCTCAAGTTCAAGTAAATTTTAAATTAATTTTTAATGTGTCTCCAATATTCTCAGCACCTGGGAGTTCCAAGTTTTCTTTGATTTCTTATTTATTTTGGCTATTAATTCGTGGAGCATTTCAACAGGCAACTTGCATTGAAACAGAATTGCAACTTGCATTGCACAGAACTTGCATTGCACAGAACTTGCATTGCACAGAACTTGCATTGCACAGAACTTGCATTGAAAATGGAATGCATCATGTTACATGTCTGAGATGTTGGGAACATTTTTTGAAAAATCTTTCAAATTCTTTCGCACAGATCACCCCCTTCCCCCATTTCTAATTGTCAACCCCTAATTGTCCAGAATATGATACAATAAAAAGTAAACTTTTGTCAACTTTCCAAGTACACAACATTCTTAGTGACGGTGTCAGTATCTGCCATGTACGTTATTTCTTTTCTCCATAATTATGTGACATATGCATGACCTCTGAAGATCACACATCCTGGTACTTTCACTATCAGCGAGAATTTTCCCAAAAATGTTTATTCTGAAGCTTAAATCCGTGGATTCGGTCAAGTTTTCAGCATCTTAAGGTGTCAAGTCACTGAATTGTATGCAGGATTCTCTGAACTATATCACAAAATATTTGATGCATTTTCTATTAAAATTAGTTTGATTTTCTGTATAGACATTTATTCCCTCCATTACAGACTAATTTCACACAATACCACTACATCCAAGAAAACTTAGAACATACTTCAGAAGTTTAGTCTATAAACATTGCAATATGTCTTTCTATCAGTATAATTCAGTCAAGGTTATGGAGTTCAAATGACTTTCAAATAGTTTTGCTGATGATGGTAATGTAATATACATCAATGAAGAAATAAATAAATATTGAGTAAAAAAAAATATTTAATATTTTTCAAATAACTAGCAAAAATAGAAAACAATTTCATTTACAAATATACAGTATCTATAGTAAAACACATATAATACATAACAGACATATGATATTTTCACTCAGAATAAATTTTCACTATTTTCGCTGAAGGTATGATTCAGTGAAAATATTCAGCGAATATACCTTTTTTTCCTATATTTTACATGTCAAAAATCAGTGAGAAAAAAATTCCATACAAAACATCTAAAAAGTCTTTTCAGCGAAAATTTATTCCAGCTAAGATAAAGTATTTTACAGTATGTAGTGTACGATACTGTCTTCCATCAGATTCAGAAATGCATCACTGCTACGATTACAGACATCACATTATTGATCATAAAAAATTACAAATTAAGTTCAACAGTATGTTTACAATATCAAGTGCAACTCTACATCAATCCATGTAAGGCGGATTATTAGTAAACAAAGTGTCAAGTTGACAGCTTTAATACTTAATTTAATAGAAGGATATTTTTGTAAGCTGCAATCAATTGTTTTTACTTTCGTAATAATGTAATTTAAATAAACGTACCTGGTAAATTGGTAGACATGGGTAAGGTGTAAAATGTAATCAGCAATTTTATTTGTCTGTAATTTGTATAAAGATATTATTTTTTGTAAGCATATAAAGCATTTTCCAAATTAAATGTCGTAATTCATACGCAATTTCCAATTTTGATTATTAAACACAGATTGGCACAAATATTATAAAAATTAGGAATTTGCTTTATCTGTAAAGTGTAAAAACCTATTTATTACTGTAAATGGAACTTTGCATTTTATTTTCTGTAAAAACATAAAATGCCTTTTTTATTTCCTGTAACCTGTACGTGCTACCCCCTCTTGCCCTCCCTCTTAATATATATTCTATACTCAAAAAATTTTTGAGGAATTTGACAATATATTCTTTTAAACTGAAATCTGGTAATTTGTAATTTAATTTGTTGACAGTTAATTGATGTGTAAAATGTAAACAAATATAAATGTAACTGGTCACTGAGATCTGACATGCATGTGATTGGTAACTGTATTACAGATAAACTGAAATCTATTTGGTTTGAATCAGTGGATGAGTTATATTAATCTAAACGTGAGTATTTTTACTATGAGAAATCAATTAGTATTCTAGTGCCTTATGATATACAGTGAACCCTTGCTAAGTCACACCTTAGTAAGTTGCGATTTCAGATAAGACGCGAGTAGTGGGATGCTCCCAAAAATTTGATTGTGTAGTGCCAAGTTTTGAATTACAAGAACTAATTATTCGATGCATCTTAAAGGGCAACTTAGCAACTTCTGACTGTACGTAAAAAAACTCTCATTGTCTACTGGTGAAACCAAGTAAAGGGGATGCACGTGACCTAGCAGTTGGTTAGTCCACTTTTCGTGGGTGGGTAAAGAATGAGGAAAAGCATGTGTATGTGCTTTTTTCCCATTTTCAATGCATGAACCCCCCCCCCCCCTTTCACAAGGCTCCTCGGCAAGTCACGACCCCCCAATAAGTCTTGGTTTTTTTGCTTGGATCCCACCACCCACAACTTAGCGAGGGATCACTGTGTATGATTATGAATTATTATTTGTAGCAATGCAGCATGTTAGATCATCGTACATGGCCACCATTCATTTACACATCAATTCTATAGGGCTCCTCAGACAGTCGTTTTTTCTTTGCAATACAGTCTTGTAACCACTGTACTGACACCAACTGAATGTGCCGGTTCTCCTTACTGGCCAACTGAAGAGTTTCAGCATCTACATCAATGTTGCCGATGAAGTGAGTGGTTTCCATGGTAACTTGCTTGTGTAAGTCACCATCATAAGTGAGAAAGGTTAAGGAGATAATAGTATTTGATGGAGAACTTGGAAAACTTTTAATAAAATATTTGATCATCAACGAATGTAATATATGCACTATGTTAAATTGGATTACATGGCAATCAATATTGTCCTGTTTTTATCAACAGACTTTAGAACAAAATGGCCGCCACGATCTCATTGGGAGAGCCATAAGATTTGTTTTTATTCATCAAATAGTCTTCTATTGTCTCCTGTTAGTTTGGATCCAAAGGTTGCAAGTGATTGATTTTCTGGAATGTTACACCAATATCTTTAACCATATGAAACAGTTTAACTTTAACAACAAGCATTTTGGGGGAAATTCTCTTTGATAGTGAAAGTACCAGGATGTGTGACCTTCAGAGGTCATGCATAATATTGCATTATAATTATGGAGAAAAACACGTCTTATGGTTCTGTCACAAGATCTTGGTAGCAGTCTGTCTCTAAGGCCTATTTAAAACTTCTTCATAATGAGCTGAATATATTGTAATCACTTATATTTTGGAAGACAAATTTTCATGAAATATTGACTATTTTACTGACATTTTTAAGACAGGGGAGGTCACAATGACTTTTGCTCCCAAATCATGCTATAGTAACAGTTGCATTTTGAGATCATTGCAAAAACATTATGAAAGCTTCCATGGATAGCCAAATAAATGGCATCAGAAGGTGTCGTGTTAATGCGAATAAAGTACAAAATGTGGTAAATAGACGCAGGGATTTGTTTATACAAGGCAACAGGGGCGCAGCGCCTTCATGCCATGGCCATGCACCCCCTTACCCTGGGGAGCAGATCCTCTGGCAACCATCAAATTCTGATTGACTGACAGGGATCACATGTGGCCACAGTCTTCAACCATGACCTCTCTGATAGTAATTTTGGCGCCAAGGAAGCCATAGAATGCTCCATATTAACTTAGAATTATCGCAAATCCACACCCTGTTAGGGAGAACCCTATCTCCCCCACTTGGTGGCACCACTGAATTGCAGTGCTCCCTCTTGCAGTTTTTTTCTAGAAAAAACCCTGAGGTGTTTGTTGAAAAGACGCATATATTTCCCTTGATTAAATGATTATAGTAACATTGAAAGGATATGCAATCAGAAATCTTGTCAGTTTCTTTCTTTCACTCTCATCAATTTCATGAAAGTATACAGCAACCCTAGATAGGAAGTCAGGCAAAATTGCATTCTGGGAATCTTCATCAGATGCATCATGGGACTTTGACGTTGATGGCTGAGTTTCATCACTAAATGATGTGGAAGGCTGAGGATCATCATTGGATGCGGTATTGGAAAGTTGTTTTTGTAGACTTCTATTTTTTCTTGGGAAATAATATCTTGTGAGAAAGTTAAGAAGGTAATTCTATTGGATAAAAAAAACAGTGATGATGTTTGATCAAGTTTGGTACATGTCATGTATTTTCATGTATTGAACAAAAATAGAAATCTCCTACAGCTTGAAGGGTGTTCTCCACCTTGTACAACTATGAAAATTAAAAATTGAAGTTTGTCATCTAGACGAAATAACGATTTCAGAACACGCCCATAGTATTCTGTCAACTGACCCAACAAAAACATGATTACTTTTTAGCTCCATCGTCAACTTCATTGAATGGGACTAATCCTATTACTGATTGTCAATTGTCGTTGTCCTTGTCAAATTTTCACTTTTTTTACTTCTGCTTGAAAAGCGCAAGTCTGATTGCTAATTAAACATATCATAACATAAACATTGCTATCAGCAGAGATATCTCAGCTTGTTTTTAAGTATGGTTTAAAATGTAAACAATTTTCTAATGCTAAGTGGAATCCCAATTGTTCTACGTTTATTTATCATAAGAATGAATATACTTGTATCCGGTAAAAATGAATGATTAGCTTTGCTTCAAATAATGAAAGAAACACTGTTCTCCACCAGAGAGTGCGCAATGCCAAATAACTATATACAACTATATATATTTTCAAATTCAATAAATTCTGACACAAAATCTTACTAAATCAACGTCAACTCAAAGTTGTTCTCAAGGTCATACAAATGTAGCAGGAACTTCAAATATAAATAAGGATACATATTGGTTGGAATTCCCTTTGACGATAGATGTTTTCGGATAAGTCTCTCGGTACCGTACCAATTGAATCCATGTGTGGCGTAGCCAATACGAGGAAGATGAACACTTGCTATCAAGACAGATAAAAAGAAATTACAAATGAGAAGAAAAGTTGTTTTATTACTGGTATCATTTGGCCCACATTTAAGAAAGTCATTTTGTCCTGGTGTACTTAATGATTTAACCACTGATCACTTAATGGGACTGAAATCATTAACTCAACCAGGTTAGTATGCACACTACAATACATCATGTAGTTTTAATCAATCTAGTTTGGCACAGTTCTACTCACAGTCTAGACCAGTTACACTCAAATTTAAAAAACAAAAAACATAACACAAAATAAAATAATATTGGCCCATTCAATCTAATCATCATTTTCTGAGCGGCTTTGTATAAAATTGTCATTTTGCAGTATTATATATATTGTAGATAGGGGTGAAAACATAATCCTCAACTCAGTTTCCATAGCAACTATGTATAACAAAATCATATTGAAAGTTAATGATACACCAGTAATCACATTCCATTGGGGTGAAGACTCACCATTCATTTTCTTAGCTGCTTTGTAGATTCTCTGTAGCCCCTGGCTGAGTGCTAATAACTTAATACCAGATAGTCGTCCTTTTTTATCTCTGTGTTGTGCAATGATGACAGCACACTGTGAAAAACAGAAGAACTAAATTTATTTAGGAGCCAATATTTCAAATTTTTAAATGACGCATGTCACTCAGGACCTCAGAAATACATACCGGTATATTAATATTAAGGCTTAGGCATCACATTATAACATTTCTTTATATTTCAATGAAAATTACAAGGTCTTTTACTTGAATGCCAAAGTCACTTTAATAATCTCTCACAAAATAAACCTGCATAACTTGTTCAATATTTATCAAAAATGTCGACCAAGATTCATAAAAATTTGAAAATCATGGTGAGAAATTAAAAGGTTAAGCAAGTTCAATATAGATGAACCTACAGAACTTGACCTTTGACACTTACCATGTCTCTTCCATCTTCTCTTTTCTCCACATCATCTATGGGAATAAGATGAGCATCACCAAGCGCTAAATCTGAAATACATCAAAATACAGTATTTTGTTTTAGGTATTTCCTTCAGACCAGAAAGATTATCATGCTATGGAGTCCTCTCGCAGATTGTGATTCTTTTGTCACCAAGAATGGATACGACTCCCTAAGTTGCTTATTTCTTCAGACTAATCTGGAAAATGCAGGTTGTTGTAACTGTTTGAATGAATGGACTACCAAAAATTGGTAACCATATTTGAATCTAAACTAAACTGTCATACTGAATGAGAAATTTGGAAGAATGGTTGTTGTCGTCTTCTCAGCTCAAAAATGATCACTGTCTGAACACATTTTGTAATTAAAAAAATAATTACCAGGCACACAAGTTTTCCAGTCTCACTTTGATCATGATTTAATAAAAACAATAGAATTACCCAACCAAACACTTGAGGGCAGTACAATTGTGAGTTACCGGTAGGGGGTGGGTGCAAACAGTCTTACCTTGCATTTTACCAGCTAGTTGGTAGTGTTCTTCTGGCTGTGGGGATCTGGCTGAAATTGCAGAAAATAGGCCACCCGTACCCCACCTACCACTGTCATCTGTAAATAAATATGTAATAATAAGACAAAAAAGAATCGTCAGTTACAAACTGACAGGACATAATGTTAGGTCATGCATATAATAATATTTAGCAATAGAATCTGGTAAAACAATACAATTTTTATGACATTTGCAAATAGCTCTTTTATTTTAAAAATTATTGTATTCTCAAAATTGTGTAAAGTTGAAGTTTTTGAAATATTCATATACTGTATGAATATTAAATTTATAACCACACCACAACTACATAGAAGTAATATCAAACAGATGATTTTCTTCAAAATCTAGTGTTTAGATGATTTTCTGTTACTTCGAAATCCAGTGTTATGCTTGAAATCAATCATAGAAACAGGAGAAACAAAAAGATATTAACAGCGTCCGGATTACTTTCGGAAATTCCGTCGCTCTTCGGAAAGTTTTAATTTTCACAACTTTTGAATATTAATTCATACTTTTAGGTTAGTGAGGAGGTT